TTTTTTTTTTTTGATGATGATGATTAGTTACTAAATTAGTCATCAACTGGTTATCACTAGGCTATCGATGACCTTTTAAAAATGGAAAAACTGAAGTAATTCAACGTCAATGTAATAAATTAGTATGACTGTTGTGTTTTATTACAATTTATTTTGAATAATGTTATTTTTAATGAAAATATGTTATGTTATAATCTTACCCGACACAATGACATTTTATTTTGAATACTGTCATTTTTTATATTATATTATATTCGTCCTCAACACACTTTTTTTTAGCCTGGGTTAATAGACACTTTCATTCCCATGGACATTGTTAGCTTACTCGTTCTCTAATGCCCAAATAAGGAACATCCGCTAGTTGGTCCGCTCAGTGGAAAACCCATGATGCGTGGGCTCTCTCGGGCTACTTCCTGTTGCCTTATTCGCTTCAAAAGCTTTCGTCATAGCCAATAAGCTCACACGACACGAGCGCGTCAAGCTTCCTCTGCCCATTTAAGGGTTGGATCCAGCTGTTTTCGCGCAAAACGTGACAGCACCATTTTATCGAACAGATTCCCAGATGTTGTTTAACTGAATGCTGCTTTCCCAAAGGCGTTTCTATTTCTCTAAATTCAGTCCACATTCAGTTGAGCGTTTGGTGGAAGAAACTATTAAATTACAGAGTGAATGTCGAATGTGAGACGAGATATGCTAATGGGCTTCTTTTATTCAAACAACATGGTGTTTTATTAGAGGCAGTGGATCTATTCAAGGCAATTTTATAAAACAAATAAAATGTACAAAAAAAAAAAAGAAAAAAAAAAGGGGGGGCTTAAGTCACCCTCCAAGAACTCCAGCTTGGCTTTTTTGCATGGTAGGAAGTCGGGATCTGTGGCTGTTTTGCTCCGTCGCTTTCTAGAGTGACGGTCCGGTTTGGTTGGATTGCAGTTTTCTTTGTCCACTGTGAGTCTTGCGGGGTCGCGTAGAAGTGAATGACCCTCGAGTCCGGACCTTTGCCCATCCTCGGTAGCCTGTGTCGCTGCCGAGCGCAGAGGTGCTGTCGTGGAGCTCGTTGTGTCCATGGGCTCTTCTGCTTGTGATGTGTTCTCCGTCACACCGTATGTGTCAGATTGCCCCTTTTCCTCGCTGGTCAGTCGGGCAGAGTGGTAGATGTCCCTTGCAGATTTCATGACGAGCGTCAGCAACAGGCTCCGGTGGAGCCGGAGACCACCACGCTGGGTGCGCGAGCTGTACATTTTACTCAACGCCTGGACCATAATCTGCTTGGCCTCTGCTGTGATATCCATTGTTCTTAATTATCCAATTAACTTCGAATCTCTCTTTAAATATACAAACAGTGTTTAGATATTTTCCCCTGAGCTCAGTTTACTTTCACTGTCGTTTCACGCACCGAAGTAAACCTCTGCGTAAAGACAGCGGGCGTTATATAGTTTTGGTGACGTATGCGGTTGTGATTGACATCCGGGCTCCTCCCATGACTTGCGGCTCTTGTTTGAGAAAATAAGTCTGAATGCGTATCATTCTGTTTCTCATGTAATCTGTCAGAGGATTTTTTTTTTTTGATGATGATGATTAGTTACTAAATTAGTCATCAACTGGTTATCACTAGGCTATCGATGACCTTTTAAAAATGGAAAAACTGAAGTAATTCAACGTCAATGTAATAAATTAGTATGACTGTTGTGTTTTATTACAATTTATTTTGAATAATGTTATTTTTAATGAAAATATGTTATGTTATAATCTTACCCGACACAATGACATTTTATTTTGAATACTGTCATTTTTTATATGATATTATATTCGTCCTCAACACACTTTTTTTTAGCCTGGGTTAATAGACACTTTCATTCCCATGGACATTGTTAGCTTACTCGTTCTCTAATGCCCAAATAAGGAACATCCGCTAGTTGGTCCGCTCAGTGGAAAACCCATGATGCGTGGGCTCTCTCGGGCTACTTCCTGTTGCCTTATTCGCTTCAAAAGCTTTCGTCATAGCCAATAAGCTCACACGACACGAGCGCGTCAAGCTTCCTCTGCCCATTTAAGGGTTGGATCCAGCTGTTTTCGCGCAAAACGTGACAGCACCATTTTATCGAACAGATTCCCAGATGTTGTTTAACTGAATGCTGCTTTCCCAAAGGCGTTTCTATTTCTCTAAATTCAGTCCACATTCAGTTGAGCGTTTGGTGGAAGAAACTATTAAATTACAGAGTGAATGTCGAATGTGAGACGAGATATGCTAATGGGCTTCTTTTATTCAAACAACATGGTGTTTTATTAGAGGCAGTGGATCTATTCAAGGCAATTTTATAAAACAAAAAAAATGTAAAAAAAAAAAAAAGAAAAAAAAAGGGGTGCACTCAGACTCAGTTTCTGGATTGCACGTTGTGTTAAAGAAAGGCTGCATAAGCTCCGCACATTTCTCTGTGGTTAGGTCTCAGTAAAGCCCTCAATAACCACCCACGGTCTGCATGATAATACAGAATAGCCTGATAACAATAAGGAAAGAGCTTCAATGAGTTATTTCGAGGTAAGAGTCTAGCTGTAGGAGAAAATCTATATGTCCACTCGGCTCCAGTTTAAATGTAAGTGTGGTGTAGTGTTGGCTGCAGTAAACCTTTGCAAGTCCTGTGGCTTAAAAAAATGACAATTATATTTGACATTTAATACATATTTCCCCAAAATGTAAATTATTCATTTGAATTCTTACTTAATATTGGACTCAGTAAAGACCTCCATTTTTAGTCAGAGGACTCCAGGAAGACTGCAGTTAGAGTGGATCATCTTAAACATACTACTATACTAGCAGTGGTTCTCAACTAGGTGGCCTCACCAGCCTTCCAAGGGCTGCAAGATGCTAAAACACGGCCAAAATTATTTTCTTACTCGGTACATTTCTCTTGCTTTCCAGTACAAATTTCTAAAAATGACATAATATGTATAATGACTATTTACCTCATCCCATTGCCAGATAATTTTTCTTCCAGAAAATAAGACTTATATATTATGTTTATTGTTCTTGCACCATTGCCAGATCTTTTCGCTTCTTGTGTTAAGCAACATTTGGATGTATTTTTCAAGAATTAAAACAAGAATTCAAATCTCGTGTCATTTTGCTTCCCAAGTAACTAATGGTTAGATAGTCGGACTTGTAACCCGAAGGTTGTGGGTTCGAGTCTCAGGTCCGGGAGGAGTGAATATGGCTGCCCACTGCTCCGGGTGTGTGTTCACGGTGTGTGTGTGTGCACTTGGATGGGTTAAATACAAATTCAGAGTATGGGACAACTACTTGGCTACACTTCACTTCGAAATGTTTAAATGTTTTTATTGACATTTCTATTTTTCTTTCTTTCTTTTTACATCTTGAAACAAGTAAAAACATACATAGTAGAATGTAGGACTTGAATTAAAAAAAAAAGGAAAAAAAAGTTGAAATTACTTTAACACACAAAGAGCCAAAGACACAATCCTTTGTTACAAACTTTTATTAAGATATTCAGCTGTATCCTTTGACTTTTCTCTTACTCATTTTTTTTTTTACAGTAGTTAATGTGCAATTACTTTTGATAATATTGGGTCACAGTTAGGGATTCACAAAGTTATTGGCACTTTGAACACAGACAGAATGGAGTGGATGAGCACTGGCGTTACAGGGTCACTGCATGAGCACAGCTGGGTATGGGTTACAACTCATGCTGAGAGTGCACGACTAACAATCAAACTTCATTAGTGCTTCTATGTAATATACAGTATATAGCTTTGTATAGGGATGTAGTCATAGAAAGTGAGACACTGCATCGTAAAAAAAAGGGTTCACAACCAGTTTGTTGTTTTGAGTTTTCAAGCGAGCTGAGGTCATCCCCCATCCTGTCTGTATTTCTCTGTAATTTGTGATAACATGTCCGGACGTCAATTTCTCCGGCTATCGCAGGTTACTTTACCAAAACATTTGCAAAGTTGGGTTATAATCATGATGTAATTTCAGGGAAAGACTGAAAGGAGAGTGTTGGGGTGTGCTGGAAGAGAACGCAACACGCAGAGAAAGAGGTGAGAGTATCTTTATGTGGTATGTCTGTCATTTAGAGTGGAATAGCAGTGCTGCATTCTGGGTAAAGAGGCTTAGGTTGACAAAAAAAACGTAGTGAAAACTGCAAGCTAAAGGAAAACCTGCAAAATACAACCAGCCCATCGCTCCAGAACAGACGGTGTTGCCTTTGCAGAGGAGAGACAGTCAGTTATAAAAAAAAAAAAAAAAATGCCATAACTGGGGGGGGGCTAAAACGGTTTACAGACTAAAAACACTATGTCCTACACAATTTTTCTTTTCTCTTAAAGGGATAGTTTATCCAATTCGGTCATAATTGACTTACCCTCGAATCTTTTCGAACCTGTATGACTTTATTTCTTCTGTGGAACATAGAAGATATTTTTAAAGAACACTTTTACGTGCATACAATGAAAGCCAGGAAAGTCCAAAACAACACTGAATCCCACTGGCCTTTCACGGAATGAAAACAAATAATAAAAACACTTCTTTTGTGTTCACAAAAGAAAGTAAGTCACACAGGTCTGGATCAACACGAGGGTGAGTAAATGATGACAGAATTTTCATTTCTGGATAAACTATCCCTTTAATCGATGAGAGCCGCAAATCGTACATCACTCGTCAAAACGGCCAATCGAATTCAGCTACGGACACGATGGTGACCGAGATACAAGCCAAGCACCAGTCTTTGAAATGTAAGATAATTCTTATGCAAAAATAGTCCTTATTTTTCTCACAATTTCCATTTAAAGCCCAAATAACAAGGTGTCTCTTGAGAAACATTTAAAAAATAAAAATAAAAACACAAAGAGATTTTAAAACAATCCCTCTCTCTTGAGCTCTGAAGGTGCGAGCAGATAAATATATTTTTATCCTTTACAGTCCTTAATCATCTTTCATCAACTATGGATTCACACAGTGGAACAAGTAGAAGGGGAAAGGAGAAAACGGCGACATAAAAAACAAAGAAAGTGGCAGACTAAGATCCCACGTATATTTTGGGAGGAATGGAAGGAGAGGAGGATATCAGATTCTTTCCATTTTAGACAGAACGAGAGACAGAATATGCCACCTACTTCTCTTTCTCCTCTCCTCCCTCACTACTTTCTCCATCTGCTGTTCCTTCAGATCTTATGACAAGCATTTTTCCTGTCTCTCTCCTGGGCCAAATACAATCGGCTAGTCTGACATAGCCAGGTGCTACAAAATCACGAATACATTCAAATTCAGTAGAGTGAGATCAGGGAACCTCGGACCTCCCGTCGCAGTAACTTTTCCTAATTATGCATTCCTATAGCATCAGTGACTAGATTTACTTGCCGAGCGTGGAGGCAAAGGGGATCTTCTGTGCAAAAGAGGGTTATTCAGCAAAAACAAATGATTGAAAAGAAAATGGCGCCCCTGGCTTAAACCCCTTGTGTTCCTCCCGTCACTAGACCGTGCAATCTCCTCCAATCTCCTTCCTGACTCTCCCTTTCCCATCCCAGGCAGAAGCAGCAGAGCCCAGAGTCACGCAGCGGGGTGGGAGGCAGGTAGGAAGTGGGGCACTAGAGGGGATGGGGCAGGGCTTTCCTCGCCGCATCACTCACTGAAACAAAGTGCCGTTGTCTCCGCTCACACCCTGCAGAGACTCGCCCGAGGATCCTCCGGTCTCCACCGAAGCACCGCCCTCCAGGCTCGCCGCCTCGAAGGCAGGCTCACCGCTGAGGCCGTCCGCTTCCATCTTGATGCTGTCGGGGAGGAAATTGGCATAAGCGTCGCCCTCTGCCATCAGTAGCTTCAGCTTGGGGATCCAGCTCTTCCTCACCACGCGCCGAGCGTTAGTGCACATGTCCGCCGCGATGGCGTTCATCTCGCTCTCCTTAAAGCTGGTGGCAAAGTTCTGGCAGTAAACTGTTGACAAAAGGGAAGGAGACATTTCTAAAAGCCAGATCATGCCAAGAACCATAACTATAAAGACAACCTTCAGTGTCCACACCAACATATGATAACTTTGTTTATTATAAGCATGCGCTCAGGTATGCCGCCTGGCACTTTAAATGCCGGGTGGATTCTGATTGGCTGTCAATGTTTTTATCGTTCATAAGCTGGATAAAAAAAATTATTCTGAAAGTGTTTACAACAATATCATTCCTCTTTGTCATTAGCCCCTTTCACACATACAGACTTCACTGGTAAATTACCATTAAGAGATCATGTGTGAACAGGACCTTTTCAAAAATACATGTCAATTCGTTCAGGCAATTTATCGGTATGAGAAGCTGTATCATTACCAGTAAATTACCGGTAATCTGCTCAGTTTGAACACAGAATGAAGATTACTGATATGAGCCCATACAAGTTCAAAATGCGCTGACGTA